TATTAGACAAACTTCCCAAGAAAATCCCAACTTTCCAACTACATCTCAAAAATTTCACAAGAAAAGCAAAATGAAAGGAAGGAGCAAAAAACTGAAGTCATTCCCTGAAAGAACAGAATAGAATAATAACTTTATTGTCATTCCACTCTACACTATATACCAAGTGCATAATAAAATGAAATTCCATTGCAGTTGGCTCACAATTACAAAAGAAGGAACAGCTAGCAATTTTAGTATTAATTCAATACTTAAGGGCACGTGAACAACAGGAATGCTATACTGTCCCTACAATCTAGCTCTCTGAAAAGCTAATATAACACCTTTTCCGACTCCAAGGAGCTGTAACATATGTTATTGCCTCATTATATTTTGTACTCTAACAAGGGATCTGGGGTCCCTTTTCCCAGCCTGCACTCTTGCTGACACTGCTCCCCTTCAGAAGCACCACTGCTCCAAGCAATTGTTTGAGTTGTTTGTAAAGGCAGGGTGACCCTTCTTTTGGAGGAGAACAAGAAGAGATTAGATTGACATCACTTGAGCAGACTTTAACAGGAATGGGCTTGGTGTTCAAAATGGCTTCCTCCAACTCTATAATTCTATAACTACATATTTATGGACTGCTGCCTATCCAGAGTTTTGGGACTAGACTATTAACAAACATCTGGGTTGTACTGACAATTAAACACACAGAGCAGCCAGCTTCTAAAATAAGAACAGACAATATTATTCAAATGTAGCAATTCAGTTTCCTCAGAAGAATATTGTAATTTCAGTATTCTAAGCATGTTTTCAGACTATGGTTGCCTTATGCTTCAAGTGCACAGTTCTTAACTTGTTGAGAAAAGTCTATAAGAGTTCTCTCCAGCATGCTTCTGTTGGAAGCTGTCACATTTTCCCAGCAGTCTATCAGTACTCTTTGTAACTCTAATACAGCAGCAATCTGTATATATTTACTCAGAAATGAAAGGATGACATCCCCAATATATTGTTCCTTTATCACACAGTCTTATGTTTAAGAGTCATGCAATACTTGTAGTGATATGGCAAATCCCTCTCCTCCCTTTATTTTAGGAACTTCTTCAAAGTTTTATTTTATATATTTATTATTGGATTTATTTACTGCCTCAATCTGAAGGACTCTAGGCAATGTACAGGATCCAATTATACAATAAAAACAATAATATGATTAATAATGATTAACAGAAATTATATAAAACTCCTTGGGCCACTGGTTCCACAAACAATGGATCTCCAAAGGCCCTCCTGAAAAGTCAGGATTTCACAAGCCTCTGGAAGGCCACAAGATTGGGGCCATTCACACTTCATGAAGGAGGCTATACCACAGGAGGGAAGATGCCCTCCAACTGCCCCTCAAGATAGGAGGGGACCTTCACCAGGCACTCTCTGGACAAATGGACTGGGTGGGCAGAATCTATCTGGCAAAGGTGGTTCTCTTTGACACCTCTCAGACTGAATAACACTCTTACTATGCCACTTGGTGCAATAGTGCTCAAGTAACCTTTTACAATAGTAACAACCGAAAGTTTGCTTACTCTCACCCCAGCAAGTTCTGCAATTTTTTAAACTCCTTTGTCTTCTGTGGTCAGATGTTTCCCTTCTATACCCAGCCCTGGAAGCATATTTTTTTCTGAAATGCAATCAGGAATATAGCTGTCTCTGGTATAGCAAGCCTACTCCTCTATATGTAACTGCAATTACGTCAGGGCATTGAGCTCCTGCTGTTCAATCCACCCTCAATGAAGCTATCGTCATAAAAGAAAATGTTTACTATTTTCTGAAAATGCTAGATTTCATTCCCCTCCTGATTTTGAGATATAATATGAGGCAGTGGGTACATTTCTTTTCTAAACGCAAGGATGGACCACGTGGTCCAAAGAACTACTGTGAAGCTTCCTATGCTGAGAGCAGAATCCTCTGCTCTGAACAACTTTCTATGCTGTAATTCTATTGGCCACAACGGACTTGCAAGAAAGCAAAGACAGCAGGTGATTTGGAAAAGATCTACTTTTGATATAGGCCAGGAGGTACTAAGCAGAAATCCCTTCAGAAGTACTTACGATCAAAAGGCATTGCATAAAGGCAATCATAATACATGATGAGGCTCCTGAAAGGTTTCAGCTCTAACTGCTGTATTCCTTGAAAATAAAACAGGCAAGGTTTTTATAAACTGGAACCTTGGCCAAGTAATCCCCATTAGTTCCTACTAAAGCTCCAGGAAGGTTGATTTCAAATAAACATTCGCATCAGAGTAGGTACATTCTCTGTTCTTCTCAGGATTGGGTGGCGGATGCCGGCTGTTCACCCGATTGTAATCGCAAAGGAGCAGTTCACGTTTCATGGGTGTCTCATTTGACATGCTCCACAGGAGGGGAGAAAGGGCAGAGGAAGTCACACTGGACCATCTGCATTGGGTTTCTGGATGTATTTATGTTCTTAGAAAATACAGTTTAATATGCAGGATTTCAAAACTGTTCCATTCTCTTGCAGTGTAAAGAATGATCAGCACAACATAATCAATATGATTGTGCAAATGGCTGACTTGAGAATTGGATAACCACACTGCAAACTTCTCAGTGGCATACCAGTTCCTTTCAATTCATTAAAAGAATCAACATCTTGTAACATACACTTCCCCCCTCTGTGCCATCTAGATATGCTGGGATTTGTAATGGCAACAACCAACCATTCAACATTTCTTGGAGACTCCAGTTGGGGAAGGTTTCCTAATATGCGTTCACAGAACTGGTTTCAATTTTGAAAGGTATGAAAATCCTATATATTCTGATATCTCTAATAGCAGACAACTTTATATTTAGTGCAGGAATTCTCACAATGTCATAATGAGCCTCTCTGATTTGAAAATCTAGATAAAAAATTGAGCTTTCCTAAAAATAACCAAAACAAGTTACCTGGAAATAACAGTTATTCTCTAAGATAGGAAAGCAAATAGATGGAAGCAGGGTCAGAAAAGAGGGGCCACAGAAGAGCCTGATAAAAATGTGTTAAAATAGAATTGCCTGAAGCAGACTTCAGGTTATAGGGACAGGACAGTACAAGGCTTTACACTCTACAAGGAGTGTCAATGGACAGACGTTACCATTTTTTACTAGGTCTACTTCCTAAAACCTTAATATTGCTTATTAGCATTATATGTGCAATAAGTAGATTCCGTGATTTAAGCTATCTGTGAGATGCCAAGGAAACGCAAGCCACCTTTATCTCCTGTCGAAGATGTAAACTTAGTTTCAGATCTTAGGTGGAAATAGTCTTTTCTGACCTGCAGACTACAACTAAGGAAGTGAGTTGTGTCTTTTGTCTGAAAATACTTGTGGAAAGGGAGTGTAAGTATATTCTTATTTAAAGCATAAGAGCATGTAGAAGCTACAGCTAGTTCAAAATGCAGTGGTGCAAGCAGTAATAGGCACTTCTTGTTCTGCCTGTGTCACCACTGCTATGCGAGCTGTATTGGCTGCCAGCTGGCTTCTGGGTGCAACTCAACAACAACAACAACAACAATAAATAATCCATTAGATCCTCTTGGCTCATGAAGGCTGCTTGGGAGGTGTCAGCATCCTTGATGGAAGGGGTGATTCTGCTTCCCTTGAAAGAGATGATGGTGTATGCCCTCCTCAAGAAGTCATTGCTGGACCCAACAGTTCTGGACAACTTTTGTCCATCTCCAACTTTTCCTTTTGGGGGCGGTTCTTGAGAATACAGTTGGGCTGCAATTTCAGAGGGCCGTGGAGGAAATGGACTCTTTTCAGTCAGATTTCAGGCCAAGACACAGACTGAGACAGCATTGATTATGCTTGCTGATGATCTCTAGTGGAGCTGGTACAGGGGTGGTCCATTTGCCCTGATTTTCCTCAATCTTCTCAGCGGATCTCAATACCATTGATTATGATATCCTTCTGTACTACCTATGGAGATTAGGAGTTGGGGCATCATGGTCCAGTGGTTCTCTTCCTTTCTCTGTGGATGGTTCCAGTTGATGTCAGCACAGAGGGAGAGACTGAGCCTAAAACCCCTAATTTGTGAGGTGCTACAGGGCTTGACACTCTCACCCCTTTTGTTGAACATCTACATAAGGCCACTGGGTGAGGTCCTATATCAGTTCAGGGTCACATTTTGATAATCTTGATCCCGGGCTGACCAAGTGATCCTGTCAAAGTTTTGTCCCTATGTGTGGAGGCTGTGAGGTTGGATGAAGAGAAACAGACTCAAGCTCAACCCAAGCAAGGCCAAGTTACAGTGGATAGTGGGTCCCCCAATCCTGGAAATTGTCCAACTTTAATCCTGGGTGGGGTAGGACTTTCCCATTTGGGACTGATGCATTACCTGGAGTTTTTCCTGGACTTGCAGCTCCTGCTCAAAGAGCATCTTATTGGATTCTGCATGTTCATTGCAGACTTTTCTCCTGGAAGGAGCCTTATAAATTTAACAAATACATAAATCAATAAATAAATTGATATTTATATATTTGTTTATTTGTTTCCTTTTATGCACTCTTCTGAGGAGAGGAGCAAAGAAGATATAGCCCTCTAATCTATGTCAACCTAGCACATCACTTCCAGACATCAATGCTTTTATAATATAACAGTCATTGAGATTCATACCTTGGCAAGTCAATATCATTTACTAGAAGGCAATTGTATAACAGGCAATCACGACAACATAATCTACTTGAACCTGAGCCAAATCTGAACTTGCAGAGATATGTTCAGTTCAAATCCACCGAAACAAAGGGAAACTGAGGAGTGGCTATTTAACTTTAGCGTGAGCCAGAAAAGAAAGTGACGGTGATCACGAAGGCCATTTTCTTGGCCTGTCTGAATGTATTTTGTTATTACAAGGGGCAAAGCGCAAAAAGGGGATAATTAAATGATGAGTTTTCTACTCACTGAGTTAAGAAAATTATCAATAACCATTTAATAAAGCATATGAAGCAACTCATTTGGACTATCTATAATGAATTTTAAGATTGTATTTATAACCATCTCTCATTTTTTTCAGTGTAGCTGAAAATCAGCTGCTGCTTCTACTTGCTGGATGAAATGGTCAGTGTAACTCAAATCCCTGTGTATCCCTATATCAACAAAAGATATCACCTTAACCCTTTATTATCTCTGATTTTCTCCAATGCACATGTGAAAGTAGAATTCAGCATGCACTGAAAAGGAACCCATAAGCTGAAGGAAGACTGATTTTTAAAAACTGAATACTGTAAATTCAAATAAAATATATATATCATAAAAATGCAGAAGAAAGAAATGCTCTACATTTGAAAAGAGAAAAACAAATAGCCACTATTGCAGGGTAAATGATCTATGGCCTATGGGTTACAGGGATTCTCGAACCCCCTTTCTTGTGCTCCTCTGGGACCCCACCCCAAATCATGCTACCAAACATAAGTGGCAAGTTGAAAGGATTTCCTGTTATTTAGTGGTTGCGGAAGATGTGTTAACTTTCATTCATGCATAATCTCAATCAAAAACAAGCAATTGCTGCAAGCAAACCTGGTCTACCCATTTTGTGATATTGTGATATTACCAGGACAGCTCCAAAACAACAAAATTAAAAGTACAACTTCCAGATGCCAAGAGATTTATGGTGTACAAAGCAACAGACACAGAATATAGGAAATTGCACTATTCTGTTACTATATTATTTCAAATAGCTTGCCCATTTAACCCAGTAATATCTGCTCTGAGAGGAACCAGCTGTCTAGGAAATCAGGTCTTTCCCTTCATTTCTTGACTTAGAAAGACAATCTGCAAGCCCACTCCCTCATTTGTACTCTGTTGACTTCCTCAAGACACAGTGAAGACTATTACAGCCTTGTACAGTTTCCATTTATTTCAATCAATTTGCACCTGAGAATTTCCAACAAATTTCATCTCATGTCAATCAGGAAAAGGAGGTGGATCTAATGTATTTTTAATCTCACTCACCAGAATATCTAGAGCCAACTCAGCCAAGCCAGCAAACAGTTAAGTACCTTGTACAAGGAAGTAATTCAAAACCAAAGTCTGAATACTCTTGAGATTTAAAGGATGGTATGGCATCTGACTGTCTTTGTCATTGGCCTCAAAGCTGTGTAACTGAACTGTCATGGGCAGGGGATGGTAAATTGTGGCCCGTGGGCCAAATTCAGCCTGTCTGTTTTTGTATGGCCCATAACTTAGATATGTGGATGGGTGGCAGATCGCCAAGCCCAAGCCTCCACTGAATTCCCCGAGGCAAGGAGTGGGGCTGAGGGCTGAGGTGTCCTGGGCATCCTAACAGCAGTCTCCTTGCTGGCAGGCTGGCGCTGTCCAATCATTGCTGTGCTCCTTAGCCTGAAGATCTGCCAGCTGTGCCCAGGGAGACGGAGGGGGGCAGGATCTGGCCCTTTATCAAAAAAAGTGTGTTGACCCCTGGTCATGGAGATACCTGTATTAATATGCTCTTTGCACAAAAGTCAAATAATGTTGCACTGAAAATTACTGGGCAAATTTTCCAACCTTCTCTAATCTCCCTGCAATCTACAGCAAAAACAAGGTGTGGAAAATTCACATAATATGTGGTAGTCATACAAGCAGCTCAGGTTTAAATTTCTATTTGTGACAAAATCCAGCTGAAATTAAATATGTAAAGTAAAAAAAAAGATATCCTTATGTCAAGCTTGTCTCATGATTTCATAAACATGTCTATTATTAATTATCATTTTATTATTTTTATTAAATGTACTATGGACATTCACTCCAACAGATTTAGGGCAGCTTTACAATATCAAAACATACAATTAAAACAGTTAAAAACATGAAACAAAACATGACAGCCTGGACTAAAAACAACTATAACAATAATTGCATATGCAATTTTTGGCAACAGTGCCAAAATGGTTTGCCATTGCTTTCTGGTGGGATTTTTTTTTTTTTTAATTTTTTATCCCTGCCTGCAGCCC